CTATAGGGCGCGTGCGCTCGCCAGACAGACAGAGAGAAACAGAGAGACAGAAAGCGAGAAATCACCCTCCAGGGAGGATGGCCACGCCACAATCCCTTCTCCTCCATTCTCCTCTCGGGATCTTGGGCATGCACACACATGCGCCCAGCGTGATTTTAAGTCACCGGGTCTGGGACTCCAACCGCAGTCGACTACGTGGGAGTCCAGTGACATAGCCATTATGCTAACTGCTGGTCCCATTATTTTTTAACTTGTGATAGCACATGTGTGCGCACCAAAAAGAAGGAGGGAGAGGAAGAGCGAGAGGGAAAGTGAGAAAGCACCCCTACCCAGAGGGGTTGGTCATGCTGTAGTTCCTTCTCCATTCTCCTTGGGATTTGGGGCACACACACGCGCGTCTGGCATGTTTTCCAAGTCTCTGGATCTGAGACTCGACCCATGAAGTTGACCATGTGGGATCCAGCTACCTTAACCACCATGCCACAGGTTGGCCTCCCAGTTAAATTTTACATCTCAAATGGCAGGTTCTTCCTACCTCCCACTTCTGTCAACCATTGAACGTGCCCCTCCCCCCATAAAATGAAGGCTTAGGGCCAGCAGGGGGCATGGTGATTAAGGCAGCCATATCTCACACAGCCGAATGTGCAGTTCAAGGCCCAGACCTGGTGGCTTAAAAGCAGGCAGGGTGCATGTGCCCCAAATCCCAAGAGAATGGAGGAGAACAGACTGGGATGTGGCCATTGCCCCAGGGCATGCTTCCTCACTTTCTCTCTCTCTCTGGCAAGCACACAAACTCGATAGAAAAAACCTAACAAAAGGAGGAAAAAACCGAAAGGCTTGATGCTGGGCGAGGCAGGCTTCTCAGAGGCAAACCCTGAAGGAGAGGACAGTGATCCCAGCAACTGGGACAAGCCCTTGCTTGACCGGGGCCGGAGCAGCACATTCCTCTCCCACTGCCGGGCACAGAGCCAGAGGAAGCCCTGGCCCTGCCTCTCTCCAGACACGGTTTCTCCCTGAAACACGCTCTAACTCGAAGTATCAATTTGGGAGAAAAAAATTTTCCCTTCTACTCATCGACTGGGGCCCCTTTAACAAAAGACAGATTAACAAGGGAAAAACAGGGACCAGCAGAAGGTGTAATAGAGTTGCTGGACTCCCACATGGTCGACCATTGTTCGACTCCTGGACCCAGTGAGTTAAAACTCACTCTGGCCGTGTGTGTGTGTGTGTGTGTGTGTGTGTGTGTGTATGCACGCATGTGCATGGGCACCCCAAAAACCAAGGAGA